TCCTTGTTTCTCTGACATTCTTATACTTTCAACAGAGGCCTCGTGGTTAGTCAAGTCAAGATGGCGATGTAGACCTTTTGGACATACCAAACCCTTTTTATTTCTTTTTACCCCTTTTGGAAGGTTGATACTATGTTTATATACTGTCCAGTCCACCGAATCCCCGGACGTCATGTTTTTTGTATTCGCACTTTTTTTTTCTCGCGCGTGCTCTCCGTTACGGTGATTGTTTTTTTTTTCTCCCTTTAGCGCCGCCCGTGAAATAATCACTGCGCCATCATTATCGCCATCACCGTCATTATTGGCACCTGCCGCTGTCTGATTGCCTCGTCAACGTCCTCATTTTTTAACAAGAACATTATTTCCCCCGCTCGAAAACAGAAAACAAAAGAGAGATGGACAGCAAAAAGGCAAAAACAGAGACTAAAAAAAATGAGAGGGTGCAATTTTTTTTTAATTTTTTTGTTGAAACATTGGCCAATAATGAGCAACATCAACGGCAAGCGCGCGGGCTTATTTGATCACGGTACTGTTTCAGTTAATTGTGCAGCCGACTGTCCTTTTTATTAATTAATTGAGACAGTAGCAGCAGGGGTGGCGGTGGGGCAAAAGGGGGGAAGGCAAATTGGCGACTGCCGTGAATTATGGTGTTTTGATTATCTGAGTGGCCGAGGGGCCGTGTCGCCGCTGCACGGCGGGATAAGACTTTTCCTGTAGACGCTTTGCTAATATTTTGCGCGACTATCTTCAACAAAAAAGGGCGCGTCGGCAGGGGTTTTCTTTACACACATGCTCCTCCCTAAACCATAGCAACACACACACACCTCTGTAGATGAATAAATAATTGAGACATTTCGTGTGCTTACCGTTCCCGCCAAATCGCATAGCTGCAGAAGCACATTATATGAGGGAAACACTCGAGGGGTCGGGATGGGGCCCTATAACGCTGATGTTCGTGTTGATGCTCATGGGCCTCTCGCCCCTTCCCCAAGCAGACACACACACGTGTTCCTCGTCCGCCCCGCGCGATTCTGCAGCGGAAACGGCATCGCTGCTGCCAGCGGTATGCTCACATGGGTCATCATATTGTCTGGCCGACTGCGCGGGCCACCGGACTGACGGCCTGCATCAAACATTCAACGCCCCGCCCCGCCTCACCCACAGGCGCCACGCCGCCGCGCAGCTGGGGAGTTGCAGCGCCACGCCACTCGCCGGGCGGGCACCACCGCGCGCTTCGAATCCCGGCGGCGGGCGCCCGTACCGCTCGGCAAGGCGCAAGGCGTCATCTTCAATTCATGAAGCTATCCGTGGCGCCGCCTTACGATCGCCGAGCGTGGGGGGGCTCCCCGTGGGGGCATAGCGAGAGAGAAAGAGAATAATGAAGGGAAAGGTATAGGAAAGGGCGAGAGGGAGAAGGCGAGAGAGGATTGGGTGAGTGAAACGCACCCAAGAAGACCAAGGCCTACACAAAACTATGCAAAGGTTTTGTTGTGGTGCGGTAAATGGGCGTGAGCTGCGCTGGCGAGACGCCCACGCTTGTAGCTAGATGTAGCTAGCACCACTGCACGCTATAGATACACAAATTTAACCAGCTACACGCTATAGCTAAGTGACCGACCGACCGACCGATAGCACTCGCGTGTGTGCCGCGCCCCTAGGAATGGGGACTTGCTGGGGAGCTGGACTCGACCGCGGAGCGCCTGGGGGGTAGGCCGCACGAGCGCAGGAGTGCGCTCGCACCACCGTTGTTGCCTACCTCACAGGCGTACGGCCAGCGGGCCAGCCCTCGGGCCAGCCACCACACCCGCCGCAATCCAGCTTGACTTGACCTATTGAGTTGACTAACCACCAGGCCACTATTGTTCCGCTTTGGAATCAACAGGGTTGAGCCCTGCACTTGTATTTTGTTCTCGGGTAACACCGCGCGGGGCCTATGGAACATGGATGAGGAGGTGGAATATTCTAGCTCAAGTAAAGTGGGCAGCTGCACATTGCACTGCGGTCCTCCCTCCTCTGAGGCCCTACCTCTCCATTATTTCCACAGCCAGTCGTATCGTCTTCACTTAAGCCCTGCGTGATGCCCTCTTGTGTGGGAGTTGAACCCTCTCTCTCTCTGCGTTGAGCCCCGCGTCGGTCTGAAAGAACAAGGGCCGCTGTGTTCACGGGGGAAACGGGGTGTACAATATGGCGTCCTAACTCACGCGTGTGCACCAAGGCCGGCGGGGGGCCCCCCACCCCGACCCCTCGAAGGGCCCCGGCACCTCCCCCTTCACCTCTATTTCCTGCAACACCCAACTTCTCTTTCTCTCTCTGTTTCTCTCTTTCTCTCTCCCTCTCTCTCTTTCGCCTCTTCAGGCTCCCCCTTTTATCTCCCTCTCTTTTCACCCCGCCCCTCCCTCTTACGCACCCAGTCTTTTGCGACGCCTTCCATTTCGACTGTCACAAGCTTAATTTAAGTCTGAAATGTGTTAAAATATTTTTAGTTGTGTGTTTTGCTGCTCTGGGTGGGTGCCAGTGGCAATAAGGCGGCTAATTGGACGTTGTGCCCCCTTCTCTCTCCCCCCTC